GAAAAAATATTAATATTATAAAATATTAATATTATAAAATATAATATATATATTTATTAAATAAAATAAAAATATTTTTTGTCCGATTCATCGATTAATCGATAAAATAATCGGCCGATTCATCGATTTTTAAAATAATCGTTAGTTGCAGCCCTAGTCAGAACACATGGAGCGGGTCAGAACCCAGAGAGATCAAAACCCTCTCTCCCGCTGCTCCCGTGTCCCGCCTCTCGGTGTGACATTATTGAGACATAATATTATTGGGGTCCTATTTCATGGAGGAGGAGAGACACACAGCAGCACTCAGTGAATTTAACCATCAGCTACCTCGATGTTTAAGTAAAAGAAAGGAGACGGGTTGGTCAAAATAATTAGAGATGCCTCTGAAAAATCTGTTCGTTAGACATACAGAGCTTTTTCAGCTAAAAACAGATTGCAAGTTTAAACTAGTTAGTAATATAATGCAAGTAGCTTTAGAAAACATAGTTTGTTCTTCTTTACTAGTTAGAAAATCTTGGCTTCTCAGAGGACCATGACTCCCAGTTCCAGGTTAAAATTAGCATGTTTTCTTATTGAACAGATAGAATCAGACTGCAGAGCTTCTACTGATCTAGAAATGTTGTTTCTAGCATCATTATATTAGTAAAGAGATTCATAAATCTTTTTAAACAGAGAGAAGCAGGGAGAGCTGCAGATTTAAAGGAGAAACAGATTTACTGGGAAATGCATCATGGAATAAAATATATCTCCAAGTTTATCAGAAAGTTTACAAGAAAAACAAATGCTATGCTATAATTAAAATGAAGCAAATCCATATTTTTCTGGATGGAATTGAAACTTCTAGGGATGCATTATTTAGTGATTTTGGCATCAGAATCGGCCGTTATTAGTTATTGTTTTTGTTGTTGTTGGGTTCTCTCTATATAATGCACTAACAGGCATCTCTTTAACATCTCTAAATATAAATATCAGTGTATTCTGGTTCTATGGTGTTCTAAACAATAAGAAAGAATTCAATTAATAGATGTTTGAGCTCATTTTAGGAAAATATAAAAACCTAATGAAAGCGTTCGGGTGGAGTAACTGTAGGTCCATCAGCCACTGCCCTTAGAGCACCCCCTCTCTTGGAGCGCCTTCCCCCTTACTTAGAGCACCCCCACCCCCAGAGCGCCTCCACCCTTAGAGCGCACCCATCCTTACTTATAGCGCCTCCATCCTTAGAGCGCCTTCCCCCTTACTTAGAGCACCCCCACCCTTAGAACGCCTCCACCCTTAGAGCACCCCCTCCCTTGGAACGCCTCCACCCTTAGAGCGTCTTCCCCCTTACTTAGAGCACCCCCACCCTTAGAACGCCTCCACCCTTAGAGCGCACCCATCCTTACTTA